TTAAACTCTGTTATAGTTCTAGCCTTCACAGCCTCCTGTGGCAAGGAGTTCCACAGGTTGACTATTTGCTTTGTGAAGAAGAACTTTCTTTTATTAGTTTGAAGCCTGCTACCCGTTCATTTCATTTGGTGTCCTCTAGTCCTTCTGTTATGGGAACTAATGAAGAACTTTTCTTTATGCACCCTCTCCACACCACTCATGATTTGATAGACCTTTATCATATCCCCCCTCAGTCTCCTCTTTTCTAAGCTGAAAAGTCCCAGTCTTTTTAGCCTCTCTTAATATGGGACCTGTTTCAAACCCCTAATCATTTTAGTTGACCTTCCTGAACCCTTTCCAAGGCCAAAACATCTCTTTTGAGGTGAGGAGACCACATCTGTACACAGTACTGAAGATATGGCCTACCATAGTTTTATACTTCCCCTCCTCCTTCTTCCCCTGGCTTCCCCCTTCCAACTCCCTCCTCCCAGGTTCCCACCTCCCCTCTCCCACCCTCTCTCTTCCCCTCTCCCACCTCCTTTTCCCAGTCTCCCCAGAGGTTAATCCTCCCCATCCCCCAGTTTTGTTAAATAAAGAGAGTTTCTATTTTTGAACACACATGTCCTTTATTTTTTACATCAGGAAGGGGGGCTAGGGAAGGGTAAGTGGAAGGAGGTGAGGGAGGAATGGAATACAAGCCCCCGATGTGGAGGACTGGGGTGGCTCTGCGGGCTCCTCGGGGTGGAATCTCTCCTGCAGGGTCTCCTGGATCCTGACAGTCCCCCGATTGACCCCCCCAGGTGGCAGCCTGCAGCATGTGCAGCCTGGCTGTTGGCTGAGTGCTGTGATGTGCCGAGTGCGAGCACTCAGGGCACTCCAAGACAGGACTGCTTTGCTGTCCCTCATCGAGGTAGACAAGCAAGCGGGGAACCCTGAGAACTGTCTGTCTGGGGTTGGGGTCGGGTCCTTTTAAGCACAGCCTTTGGCTAGCCTGAGGCAGCAGCTCCATGCTCTAAGTCCTAACCTGATGCCCTGCTGGCACCTGTTCCGGCCAGCCTTAACTTCAGTTCAGGGTCCACTCAATGTGGACATGCTTGTTCGAATTAGTAAAATGCTAATTCGAATTAGTTTTTAGGTCTAGATGCACTAGTTAGAATTAGCTTAGTTCGAATTAACTAATTATATTTACGTTAGTTAGAATTAGTGCTGTAGTGTAGACATACCGTAAATGAGCTAAATATTTATTTTATTTAGTATTTCGATGTTGGTCAATTATTAATACAGCCCTTATTTCTCTGAATCACTGCATTCCCAGGGACCTAGCACCTCCTGGTACCTCTCATTTCTGAGTTGTAAGAGAGTGTGGTGATAGTGGAGCATCCTGTGAGCACTGCGAGGAAGTGGTATTGGGGTGTATTGTGTTCCACAATGACCTTTTGCATATTTTCTACTGCTGAGAGCCCTGCCCTTTGGACAACATTGGTGTAAAGCTAAATCAACTTCTGTTTTTTACTCCTTGCCTGAGCAGGTTATTTTTTTACATTCCATTGCGTGTTTTGGATAGGAGGAGTGCTGGCTAGCACCTGGTGACTAAGGGGTTAAACTCAGGTGGCTAGCAAGGCTGGCCAGAAGACCCATTGAGGATATAGTGCTGAAATTTGAATTGTATGTAGATATCTTACCTGCTTTCTTTGAAGGAGATTCTAAGCTAAGGGCTGAAGGGAGCAGATGCAGGAATCAGAATTACCATGCCTATATGAAATATTAGACATGGGAGTGAACTGGGACTTGAAGTATGGATCAGCATGGATTGTGAGTAGAGGGAAATGAGTATCTAGTTACAATCAGAGTATTTATCTTTATTTTGGTTGTTTGGTTTAAATTTCTCTGTGTGATTCCATGACTTCCCTCTGCCATTCACTAAGAGTTGTTCCCAGAGACTTTCCCTGTGTTTTAATTTATTTTACTCAGTTGCTCTATAACACCTAGCAACCAAGTATATATTTTGTTTTGTTAATAAAAATCACCCTTTTAAGGCCATGATTTGATTCTAGTGTCCTGGAAAGTAATGGGGGTGGAGGGAGAGTGATCTCTGTATGTGTCTGACTACCTCAGATTGAGCACTCAGCTAGCTACCAGAGACTGCAGCTTGTTTTTCTCTTTTCTTTTTTCAAGCTTTTTTGGGGCAAAAGAGCTTGGGGGTATGCCTGGGGAAGGAATTCAAGTGTTCCCTCCTGGAGTTTTTTTTTCAGGGTTAAATCACTTGATGGTGGCAGCTTTTTTTCCCCCTCAGAGCCAGTGCAGCTATGACTCTGGGGAGTTTCTGTAAGCAAAGCCTACAGAGGCAAAGTATTTAAGGTCTCTTCAGGGCCTCCATCTTCTGCACTCCAAGTGCCAGAGTAGGAAACAGCCCTGACACTGAGTCCATTCACTTGTATTATATTTTCAGACAACTTAAAACAGAGCTACTTTTGGTCAAAGAACTTGAAATTCCTGCCTTCCAGCTCTCTTTTGGACAAAACAGATCCAGATAAAGGGAGGAGATAAGAAAGAGAGAAACTCCTCCTAAAGAGATAAGCATCCTTGCACTGCAAATCTTTTCAATATATGGGATAACAATGAGGAGTCTTGTGGCACCTAAGGGCAAGTCTACACTGGGTAGTTATTTCAAAATAACTCCACTTATTTCAAAATAACAAAGTGAGCATCCACACTATCAAGCCAGTTATTTCAGAATAATGGGCTTGTTATTTTGAACTAATAATTCCTGCTTGTGAAGAAGAATAGGCTTATTTTGAAATAGTTATTTTGGGAATTATTATTTTGAAATAGCTTGGCAGTGTAGACATAGCCTTAGATCTACTAGGTCATGAGCTTTCATGAGTAAAATCCCAGTTCATCAGGTGAGTTGGAGTGGAAATTACAAAATCCAGGGTATATATAACAGCAAAAGAAGTTACCTGTTAATTGTATGAGACAGTGAAGTAAGGCCACAGATAAAATACCAGAGAGCTTTTTGACCTGTGTCCCTGCATTTAGTTAAGAGATCAGAATTCATGACCCTTCCTATGCTTTCAAACAAAAAGTGATTCTCAGTGTCATACTTATTTTTAATTTTAGTTAGTCCAACAAACTGATTGTACTGCTTACATATCTCTGATTAAATAGAATAGGAGTCTTACCTTTTTTTATTTCACAAATCCAATTAAGTAAATGTTCACAATACAAGTCATTCCACTGCATTTTTGAATTTCCCTCAAACATCCCACAATGTTCAATTCCTTTGTCATTGTTGGGTTCTCCTTCACCCCAGTTTTCATAAATCACCTATGGTGGAAACACAGCTCTATTACCAGTTTCTTCTATATGAGGGAAACAGTTGTGATCTGCACTGTCAAACAGCCTCTGGAGTTGGTCCTTTCAAGTGTTTCATTTCTGAGACCAATCAGAGTAAGAGGTGTTGTGGAACCAATAAGCTCCCCTTTTGTACAGAGGGAGATAAGCACCTTGTATTATATGAAAGGGGTAACTTTGAGGAGCTGAAGAAATTGTATCTTCTCTTCCTCCTCCTCCTCAACTAGCTGGTAGGTATGACTCAGGGATATAGAGATGTGGCTGTAAATCAGTGGTCCCCAACGCGGTGCCCGCAGGCGCCATGGTGCCTGCCGGGACATTTGTGTGCGCCCGCCAACAACCTGGGCCGGCCCCACCCC